GAAAAAAATGTCTTTACATATAAAGTGAAAACTGATTTGCTATTCAAGTATCAACTGGATTCACAAATGAAAAGCTGGGAAAGGCAGCCTTTTGAATACCGAACAAGAGGTGATACTGCTTGTAGAGCTGCATATAAGCACAACTGAAGAAAGCTTATTTTCTTAACAAATGCATGTGAAGTAACACAAATGGCCATTCACACACCATAACCCTAAATGCCAGAGACTCAAAGCATGTTAAAGTTCAGGAATATACTTCAGTTTTGCTTGTTTCGGTTTTGTGCTTTAGCGAAAGGAAAACTTTCTCTCTACTTACAGCATGGATATTGTTTCTGAAGAAGACTTTGCTGTTGCGTTCCACGTTCTTGGAGAGAATTTGCAAGCAGCCCAGGTTCTCTAACAAAGCTGGCAGCACTCACAACTACTTCCAGGATATACTCCAGCTGCCTCACTGTTCTGAGGGCTCACATTTCTGCTGGTCTCTCAACACGAGGCCTCCTGTGCACCCACTGCTAACAGTCCAGCCTTTCCTCCCCTCTCTGCATCCTGCTGCAACCCCAGCAGTCGCATCCAGCCCCCACACAGCTCCCCAAAAGTTTCGATGACTTTGGTGCTAGGACTGAACTGGAGCACATGGAGAACTGCCATCCCCTTGACAGCATCACCTACCACGCTAATTTCTCGAAAATAAATAAAAAACTAAATGAATGCAGCCAAAACAGCCACAAGAAATAACTAAAAGTACCAAAAAATGACACTCTCAGCCTGTTCACAGCTGCACACAAATCCTACATGCCTCTTTCCACCCTCCTACAAAAAAAAAAGAAAAAAATCCTAAGTCCCCATTCAACCACACCGCTCGCACACACTTTGCTAGTGCAGCTCAGGCCCCTTTGTACACAGCTCCCTGCCGAGGAACTTTACTCTGCACAGACGAGAGCGCCTGCGCCTTGCGCGCCGCCTTCCCGCCCCTCGCGGAGCCGTTTAACGTTATTTTTTCAGCCCCCACCGCTGAGGCTCCACCACGGCCTGCGCCACCCGCTGCGCGTGGCCCCGGCGGCCGCCACGCCGCGCCGGCGGGCGGTACCC